CCCCCCCAGGCCCGAGTCCCCCCCACAAGCCCCGCAGCCCTGGCTGGGAAGGGCCACCGGGCCCGGGGTGAGGTTTGCTGGCGTGGAAGCCCGTCTGTCCCAAGGCTGGCGTTGGGCCGGGGCGGGGGGAATTTTTCCTCCTGGCTGCTTGGCGGGGATACACGGGGATGGTTTTGTCCTCCTGGCACGGCATGCCATCCAGCAGGAATCCCGTGGAAGGGTTTTAGGCTTGCTTCGTGTTAAATCCTGCTCGCGGGGGCTGAGGGGCTGCAGCCGCTGCGAGCACATTTTTTTCTTTTTTTGTGTGGGCATGTTGTGGTGGTTGGGTTTTGTCGATCTGCTAAGTGCGTGAAGCTGCGTGATGTCGGCAGCTGCACGGTGGGGACGGTGATGCTCGTGGGGACGGAGCAGGTCTTGGGGCTCCTTCTGAAACAGGAGTTTATTGCGTGGTTGTGGATGTGTGTTAGTGACTGGCCTCTCTGAGCCCAATTTCCTGATGCAGGGTGGGTTGTTTCAGCCAGAGCTTGCTCTCATGCTCCCATCATACAGTGTTCGTATTCCTGGGCTCTGATCCAGCAGTAGTAAGTGCACATAATTTTGCTTTTTCTATGTAGGTGTCTAGATACTTTAAAATAAAGTGTGGGTGAATGATAGGGTAGAAAGTAGAGTTGGTGAACCTGTGCAGGTAGACACCTTTATAGCCACATAGATAGATGCGGTCCCTGTCACAGGCATATGCAACTCTGACTGTGGCTGGCAAGCACAACCGTGGCGATGATAATCTCTAATTATAACTAAGAAACAAATTCTTTCTTTAGGTTCACAAATGCTGCTGCACATCACAGTTCCCCAGAGGTTGCTCTCAAAAACAGCTGGAGAGACGGTACTTAAGTAATCAAGTTATTTGGTGTTTGTGTGTGTGTGCGAGTGGATATACACGCGCAGGAATGTGATGTGCAACAGCCAAGGTGTGACTGGTAGAGGGACAGTTTTAGGAAACCACGTTCTGCCTGTGCAGGTGATGGGGGGACCATGCTCTGCTGAGCCCTTGTGCTTGCCCTCGGTATTTGAAGATTGCCCTCGGAGCATGCTTTCCCAAAGCCAGCGTTTCTAATTCTCCCTTCTCTGCTTTTCTGCACGTGCAAGAATGCGGTGTCCTATGTCCTCAGGATAGAGGGGAGGCCGTACACCATTCACCTGCAGCAGCAGTAAGTTGGCCGTGGCATTGCCTCTGACCGCTGTGGTGCTCTGCCCCCAGCATGGGACGCTGCGGCGCTGTGGGGTGATCCCCACTGCGGGCGTTGACACTGGCACAGCTCCCACAGGCTCTTTCCAGCCTCTTTCCAGCTGCCAGGATCGTGCCCTGCTGCAGGCACGTCCCAAAGCCCCCAGGGAATGTGTGCGTGTGTGCCACGCACCTGAGTGCTGAGGGGTGGCAGAGGGCTGGAGGAGGGTTTGAGGGATGTTTATGCCTGTGAGCCCTGATGCCAGCGGGTTCTGGATCAGTCAGTGCAGCAGTGCAGGCTGCAGGACATGCAATAAGTTCAAGAAGCTCTGGGTGGGACCATTGCAGAGCAATTTCAGAGGATTTTTTTGTTTTTCTGCTCTAGATTCTTTTTACCTGATGATTTCAGGATTTACACGTACAATGAGAAGGGATCCTTGCGCTCTAACTCGCCCCATATCAAGGTAATGATGACCTGCTTAGCGTTTCTGTTGCTGCGTTGTTCCAGGGTAGCCTTGCTGTTCGGTATTTTGGGGGATTTCACTAGTTACTGCAGGGGAGCAGTGCTTCCCCTCTCTCCACCTCTTTGCTTCTTAATCACAGCAGGAGGTGCTGGGGTGAAACAAAAATTTTCCTTGCAAATGCATGGTCAAATTCTTGTTTGTGAAAGTTTTTGGAGTCACTGAGTTTGCTCGGTTCAAAGCTTGTAATCCTGACTAATCCAGGCTACCCTTCCTGATGGAGAGACCAGGAGAAGAGCCCCCACACCCAGCAGTGTGGCTCTACACAAGGCAGGGCAGTTCCTTATCATAAGGATGCCACATCCTCACGCTAGGATTTGTTTTTAATGACTCGGGCCAAAGAGAGATTGTCCACAAAATCCTTGTTGTGCCATCATTTGACGGGGTTGCCTTTACAGCCACAGAAGGAGCTCCTTGTCCTTTGTTGTGATGCAGGGAGGCTGCCACTACCGGGGGTACGTCGAGGGCTTCCCCAGCTCGGCAGTGACCCTCAGCACCTGCTCGGGGCTCAGGTAACGAACCACCACCTCCCTGCGCTGCCCTGCCCGTTAGTGCCGGTGGGCACGGCCGGGCCTTTGCCACGGGGGAGCCCAGGGATGCCCCGGCAGCCCCCGCGCCGTGGCTACCAGCGCCTGGTGGCAAATGGCTGGTGCCGTCACCTTGGCAGGGGCTTGCTGCAGTTTGAGAATGTGAGCTATGGGATTGAGCCCCTGGGTTATTCTCCTGCGTTTGAGCACTTTGTGTATCGAGTGAGTGACGAGAGGATGGCAGGTTCCCTCTTGGCCAACAGCCACCCCGAGAGCGGGCCAGGCAGACTGACAGCAGAGATGTCAACCAAAGCACGTGGAGGTGACGAAGTGAGTGTGTGCCTGTTGTCTCGGGGGTGCTGATGTCCCCGTCACGTGGGGAGGGGTCCGATCCCGCAGGAAGCTTTGGCCGGAGCCGTCTGGATGGACAGAGATGGGGGAGGTTTAGGAGTGCCTGTGCTTGCGATGGGGTGTCGCGTGGATCGTTACTGATCTAGTGCCTATGAAAGGCATTGCCAAGGGGTACAAGATTTATTGATGGATTTGTAAAAGCAGGGCGTTTTCTCCCTCCAGTTTGCAGACAATTGGCAGCAATGTTCTGGCTACTTCAACCATGGGGTTCATGTGAGTGTCCCAGGGCCCCAGTGTTCATCTTCGCCGAGAGCCGATGTTATTAGCGAAAGTCTTCAGCATTGTCCTAGGTGTTAATATACAGCTTTTGCTTCCTGCCCTG